CAGGAATGAGATGTTTACACCAGATAATATCACCACGTTCTGGACAAGACAGAACGCTGGAACCAACGGGTTCCTATAAAGATGTGTGCCTCTTAAGCAGTAGCTGTAGTCTGCATACCTCAGCAAAGCACTTTTTAAGGGAGGTTGGGACTTCTCCATCCAGAACCTGCAGAACCGCTTCAATGTCCTCTCTGGCAGCGTATCCCCCCAGATCACTCGCAAACAGGCTGAAGAGGTCTGTGAAGACACACACACACACACACACACACACACACACACACACACACACACACACACACACACACACACACACACACACGGTCATAGGAAGCCCTGGCCTGAGTTCATAACCACTGGACCATGTAAGCCAATAGCTATGCACCACTTCTAGAATCTCACCAGATGTTTGCATCATCGTTTCTACATGGGTTGGCCCAAGAATATGGTGGATACTTTTCCTTTCATGGTTACTGAAACCTTTCATCACACCAGACACTATCTCCAACCAACACTCTCCACACTCTCTGCTGCTTTGGACTAGGGCCCGACCGATATATCGGCCGGCTGACATTGGGGTCATTAACAGTATCGGCTATCTGCCAAAAAGACGGCCGATATTGCGCTACCTATCCAGCAGATGGCGCCAGCTTTATGAACTCATGTTGTGTGGCTCCACTCCTTTGAACTTTGAACACAAATTATTGTTTCGGAACTTTCTTTTTTATTTATTCTTATTTATGTTTCTTATGCGCAAGTATTGCCTGTCCAGGGTGAATAAGTTCACCAAGTTAACTTCCACAGAGTGTTACTTTGTTACAAAGCACAAGTATTACGTTTTATTTACTGCTGCATTTTTATTATTTTAATATTCTTACAGGGATCTTCTGTCCCTAAACGTGTGTGTGTTGTTAGATTCCCCAGAGTTAGCCAAGTCAGAAAACATTTTGTAACCAGTTCTTTTAGCATAAAGCAATGGAAGGGGAGGCTTGCATTCACCTACATAAAAAAACACTACGATGTGTGTGAATTCACTTACATTGTTTGATGCTAAACTAAGAAAACCAACTGCTGCCAGATCATATTGGGCTGGTTATAAAATGCTTTTTCTGACTTTTCTAACTCTGGGGAATCTTAAAAAGACACAATTTTAATGAGTGGTGGAATATTCCTTTAAGTTAAATTGTATTTGTGGAAACCAGTTTACAAGAAAAACCTTGAATGTTAGATTTATGCTGTGACTGAGTTTGTGTGTTCTGTTGTGTTTGAGATCAGCTACATAAATCTTATTTGCATTACTTGGAAACCCTAGTGAGTTATGGAGACAGTTCTTTGGTGTGTAATAGAGAAATAAGTTTGCATCAAAAAGGCAGAGAATGAAGGGTTTAAGCTTAAGAAAATTTGTATTTCTTTTTTTGTGAGGGAGATTTATCGGCCATTATATCGGCCTTTGTTAAAAGTTTCATATCGGTATCGGTCCCAAAAGAAGCATATCGGTCGGGCCCTACTTTGGACTGCAGACTCTAAGTAGTCAGCTAACTTCTTTAGTTCTGCTCTCCGTGACATCACTGTTCCAAACTAAAATGCATCTGATTGTCATTAATAGACCTGGTACCTCACAGAGACAGGTACAGACACGGACCTGAACTGTTGGTCAGTAGTTTCATATCTGGCCGGGTCATGATGTCATTATAAACCAAATGTCCAACCCATTCAACTGTTGTGTCTATTCTCTTGTTATTTAGTTGCAATTTGGTCTCAAACTCCCTCCAAGGCACCTGGAATGTCTCAGATCCATGTTTCCTATAGGGTGAGTGGGGTGTCACTGCCTCAGGTGGAGGAGTTCTGGTGTCATGACGGATAGGTGGAGGGATACGCGGACGTTGCTGCTGTTGTTACAAATATGATCAGGCAGAATATGAGTTATTTTTACTCATTTCAAAGACCTTTAATAAAGGCTGCGCCAAAACAAAAGGATTACCAGGCTTTACTTCATCAAGATTTTCCCTTTAGCATGAAAATAAATCCAGCAGAGCCACCTGATTGGTCACTCTGGTGCTGTTATGCACTACAGAGTTTCATTCTGTTAAATACATTTAAATGCTGCTTCAAAAAACACACATCAAAGGTTTTTAGCCACGAACACAGGTTCAGCTGAATGGAGGTGACTTACACTTAGCCTTCTCCTCATCACGGCCTCTGGTCAGCAGCACCAGACCCACCATCAGGTTGTTAAAGTGAAGGCCTTTAGAAGAGCCTCCGAACGAGGAGTAGATCACCTGAACCACAGACACATCATCATCATTGTGCTCTTTACATAAAGAAACACCAGTCAGATGAGACTGACTATGATTGGTTAAATCAGTGACCAGTCAGAATCCTACAAAAGGAAAGATGTCGACCTGCGGGAGGAAAGGCCCTCAGCCTGCCTTCAGCTGATGCAGCATCACTTCTTTACCGTTTAAACATCATCACAGGTAGAACCCGACAGGCTTAGATTTACTGACTGTCTGAGAGGGTTCTCTGATAGTCACATCACAGGTCCTGGTGCGAGGTTGGGCTCAACGTATTCTCATGTAATGATTCGGGTACCGGGTTGGTCCCCTGTGTCTATGAGGTGTGCTCAAAACTTCAGAAAAGAAAACACACAGAGAAAGTCTGTTTCTCCGTGAACCTGATTAACCCCAGACACGTTGCGACCCTTGAAGCTGATTTGTACGACATGAGTCTAGTCCAAGTGTGTCCCATTACCATGTCATGCTGTGGGAGCCTCACTTGTGGTTTTAAAAAAAGTAAGTCTGTTCGTGTCACTTTGCAAACTTCTAAATCCACCGGCACACTGAAGCTAAATAAAAACAAATAAACCTGCTTCCTTCCTCATTTGACCCTGATGACATCTAGATCAGACAGGGTGGTACCATCACATGTATTATCATTATTAACATGTAACACACGTGTAGGTAGGGCTGGGCGATACGGCCTAAAAAAATCTCCGATTTTATTTTATTTTTATTCGATTTGCGATGTTTTTTTCCCCGATTCTCTCTACCCATCAATTATTAAGAATAGCAATAAATACAAATGGAAGGCACCTTAAAGCTAATTTTGTTTTTTATTTAATCACAAGCAAGACAAAAGTAACCCTCATTTCTAAGATGAATAACGAATAAATGAACACCCTCTTGGAATAAAAGTACCACGCTCCACATTCCCAGACCAATTCCAAACAACGGATGATTTCATTCCTTTCATAGGAACAAACTTCTCTCTCTCACCAGTGGCCATGTAGTCGCTTGCCGTTGCGGTTTCGTGTGCGTGCTGTGATGATGTTGTCGCGGTTATGTGAGACGAACGCTACGGAAGCTCCAGGGGGCTAAAAAGGTGCCATTACATAAAATTCTATTTACTTTTTTTTTTAATCGCCCGCAACAAAAAATTCGAAATAATAAATCGATTTATCGCCCAGGCCTACTCGTAGGCTCATGTTTTTATTAATAATCCATCCTGTGAATAGAACAACACTGGCCACTCTTTACATGCTGTAGATTTATGTTAGATGCATATTGAAGACTAAACCCTCTCACTGTCCTCTGCCAAAGCTTTGCCAAAAGAACCTTGCTAATGTCCGTGACATGCAGTAGATCCACCTGGTAAAGTTCAACCACCATGGAGAGCCCAAATCAACCTGTAAATAAACTGCAGACACCTCTGAGGGTCTCTGGGGGACCTTTGCGTAGACTAAACAACGCTGATGATGTCATACAAACTGTCGTTTTTTGGCATCACACACCTCCCTGCTATGCCTCTTAGGTTTCCCCTCAACTGTTCAGTTTCACCATACATCACCACAAATTATTATGGTAACAAGACGTTATTTTTTACTTGAAAGTAAGCTTGATTATACGATCTAACTGCTTTTCATACAGAAGCTAGTACTTGCTGTTTTCTCAAAGCTGATCAGAACCAATCAGATCTTTAATCTTGTGTTATTGTGAAGCAGCTGTTTGATGTTGAGAACTTTCACTTCCTCTCGCCCTTTTTGATGGTGGCCGTTAGCTAAACGTGGCAGAATAAACATGCCGCTGGCTCCGAAGCAGCGACCAGCTGTGATGTACTCATCATGTCTACCTGTGCAGAACTCCATCTTCTCCAGGGTAAGCTGCTGGCGTTTCCTGCTGCAGCAACTGAGAGCTGAGCATCAAGCTACACAAAGCCGAATCGATATCAGAGCACCATAAAGAGTTTCATGCAAATGCTGCTCAGTAACGCTACACTGATATAAATTGGACCCATTCCTGCTGCACAAAACACAGAGTGTCATGTAAATAAAGAATGATTTGCATGACCTCTAAGGAAGTCTTCAGGTCTGAGTGGCTTTTAGACAACAGAAACACTGTCAGCTGTTAACTCATATGTCAAGTCAGAAATCAGCTGTTTCACCAATCTAAGGCTGTTCAAACAGCTATCCAAAATAGATAAATGTTCATAGCTTTCTCACAGAAACCCATTTAAAACCACCTGAGCTTCTTCCTGAGTAGGAGGAGAAGAGTTCACCTGTCTGATGGTCAGACAGCTGCAGCTAATAATTTCTTATGTCATTTTTTTATGCATTTGGATTAAATTTAATCATTTTAAAAGGAACTCTGTGTGAGTGTTACTATAGAACACCCAGCTGACCAGTATTATGGGTTCTGGCTAAAGAAACAGTGCACTGTTATACACAAACTGTTGACAGTACCAAGCTGGATCACAGCAGGCCCCAGAAGTCCCAGCCCACCGAGTCTGAATGCTGGGCTGCATTACAAACCGGTCTTCTTGTTTAAATTCATCCTAAATCTGAAGTAAATATGTGACTGCATCACAACCTCTGCATACCTCGGCAACTTTGGGGGGAACTCCATCTCCCAGCACCTCTCTGTAGAAGCACTGCTGGGTCATGTAATACGAGAGGCCGCTGGTTCTCTTGAAGGCATCTTTCAGCCGCTTCAGTTCCACATCAGTAACTGGAAAGACAGGAAAAGGGTTAGGAATCACAGGGATCAGGAGGACATATGTGTGATGACATTGTGTTTTGTTCGTGGAGATGGCCGCGTGCTGATCTGCTGACTCAGGGTCTGGTCATTTGGCAGTAGATATGTAAATCTGAAGGACCACCAACTGGGCCCACAGCAGCAACAGATACAGTCCTTTACATGGTGAATAAATAGTTTTTCAGCCCTCTAAGCTTTAGACCAGAATCTAGACTGTCTAGGCTTTAGACCAGAATCTAGACTGTCTATAGGCTTTAGACCAGAACCTAGAGCCACTAGGCTTTATACCAGAATCTAGACAGTTTAGGCTTTAGACCACAATCTAGACCCACTGGGCTTTAGACCCAAAACTAGACTGTCAATAGGCTTTAGACCAGAATCTAGAGCCACTAGGTTTTAGACCAGAATTTAGACACTTTTGGAGTTTTGGAGCTTTTGACCATGTTAAATTGTTAATTCCCCATGCAAATGCAGTTTCTTCTTCTCAGGTAAGGTAAACTCTGCTGAGCCATTGCAGACGGATGGATGGAATTGTTTCTACGTCACAATGGCCTGCTTCTTCCCATCCAGGAAGTCCCTCAAGTCTGGGTCCCTCTTCCCCTTGACTGTAAACACCAACACTCACTCTAGTGGTGTAGCTAGCAGAAAATTTGATCTCTACAGTTGTGAAGAAGTGATTTCTTTCTTATTTAGTCTGCACTTTAAATAATACCTAGAAACCAAAAATGGATTTTCGTCTGCGAGTGGAACAAGATCCCTGTCCAGTCTTTCTGAAGAAGAGTTTAACTGGCAGAAATGATTGGACTTTATCTGCAGGAGCTCTGAAAAACGGAGCCAGAATGTACCCAGGATTTCACCGACTCAGTGGGACATGGCGTTACCAGGGTTTCCCCCCAGAAAATGAGTTAAGCCTTCAGGTGTGATTTAAAATCAGAGAGAGAGAGGGGGCCATTCTCACTGCTAGAGGGAGTTGGTTCCAGACGAGGCGCACAGATTGAGAACGTTCGTCCTCCTTGTGTCCTCACCTGAACACTTGGGACCTGTAACAGGCTGCTAATCAAAGAATTTGACCAGGTATGCAGGGATGATTCAAGTACAGAGGCGCATAAAGATAGAGTGACTTAAAAACAAGAAGTAAAATTTCAAACTGGATGCGGTAGCACACCGGGAGCCAGTGCAGCTTGACCAGAACAGGAGTAATGTGCTTCCTCCTTCTGGTGTCCGCAGGGTCCGAAATTAAAATTTTTTACTCACTGGCCAAGCATATTTTTTACCGGCCAAAATTCTAAATGATTTAGATCTACCTAAAGCATGTTATTCTATATTATGTTGATTCCAAACAGAGTGACAAAATAATTAAAACATCAATTAATAAGAAAAACAACTCTTTTGTCATTTTTACTATTTATTTATAAAGATGTTTTTATGAACTCTTTCATTGAAATCTAGTCAGATTCCTTGTTTTCTCTGTCCATGAAGTCTGGCCTCCTGCTTCTGACACTGTCTTTGCGCCAAAGCATCACAGCCTCATTTGGGTCAAAGTCCTTGATCTCTGGAGAACACAGCTGCACCATGAGAATATCTGAAAGTGTGTCAGGGCTAGGGTTGTCACGGTAACCGGTGTAGCAGTAAAGCCCGGTAAAAAAGTTGACAATAATAATAACTGTCTTGTTTTTAAAAAATATATATTATCTCGGTGGATTACCGTGGCTGCAGTGTAGGCACGGTGACCCTTACCAGCCACCGTATCATCTGAAGTTGCCGGCGGCACATGCACACTTTGTTGTTTACGACCAAAACTTTCTTTAAGCTAAAGCTGAAATAATGGCAGGAGGAGACGGCAGCACTCTGGACATTTATTATCCCTCAAAGAAGACAAAGTCGGAAGTATGGGCATTTTTTGGATATTTGAAGAATGCCGAGGGACAGTTGTCTGTTAAAGGCAGCAACGCTACGTGGCCATCACAATGCAGCCATTGTCTCACGACTCCGCCATCTCTGGTTCGCCACTTTTCACAAAATCTTCTGGTTTCCACTGGTCCTGGTGGTTTTTCTTGCAGTTCGACGAGTTTTCTTTTGGAAGGCTGGCTGACTCCGGTTAAAAACCGCCACATTTCACCGCTAGTTTTAACACGAAGCTAACTGCTAACTTGATAAACTGATTGAATGGGATAGGTGGAAATGACGTTGGATGTGGCGTTCCTGTTTCGCGTACGTTTGGGTACGTTGCATGCAGGCAGGAGGAGTATCAGACATCCATGGAAGATGACTGATAACCATAACTAATTTGGTGCAAACATTTACTCGCCAGGTGGCAGGTAGAGCTCAAAAATTTACTCGCCAAATGGAGCAATTTGCTCGCATTTGGCGAGTGGCCAGTGTTAATTCCAGACCCTGGGTGTCTGTCAAAAGGCTGGCCGCCGCATTCTGCACCAGCTGTAGACGCGCAACTGAGGAAGATGTGGATCCATAAAAAAAAGGGAATTTGCATAATCCAAGCGAGAGATCACAAATGCATGGATCACTGTGTGTAGGTCACGTCTAGTCAGGGTGGACTTCATCTTTGATAGCTGGCGAAGCTGGAAAAAGCAGGATCTAACCACCTGGCTAATATGAGAGTCCATCCGCAGCTCTGGGTCCAAAACCACCCCCAGGTTAGTGATGGTTGGCTTCACTAAGGTGCGAAAACAGGGTGGCAGGACAGGACTAACTGCAGTGGGAGAAGGAGGAACAAATAAAAGGGCCTCCAACTTAGACTCGTTCAGATGTAAAAAGTTATTATAAAGTGAGCCCTTCACCTCATTCAGGCAATCCACAGCCGGTTGCACAGACTCTTGAGGTTTTAATGAAACATAAAATTGGCAGTCATCAGCATACAAATGATAGGACATGCCATGTCGCCTAAAAATAGCTGCCAGAGGAAGAATGTAAAGATGAAAAAGCAGAGGTCCTAAAATAGAGCCTTGGGGAATACCACAAGACAGAGAGGGGGCTTCAGAGGCAAAATCCCCCAGCCTCACACTAAAACTTTTGTTGCTGGGGTACGATCTGAACCAGTTCAGGGCAGTTCCCTGGATACCCACTACCTGGTTCAGTCGGGACAGAAGTATAGCATGGTCTATGGTGTCAAAAGCAGCTGTGAGATCCAGCAACACCAGTATAACATGGGAGCCAGAATCAGTGGACCGCAGAACATCATTAAAAACTCTAAGAAGGGCAGTCTCAGTACTATGACCGGGACAGAACCCTGATTGCAAAGGGTCTAAAATATTAAAAGTATGCAAATGTTAGAGAGCTGTGTGAAAACAACTTTCTCGAGAAGCTTAAATAAAAATGGAAGCTTCGAGATGGGGTGGAAGTTTTCCAGGGAGGTAGAGTCCAAACCAGCTTTCTTCAAAACTGGTTGGACCACTGCCTGTTTGAAAGCCTGGGGGACAACTCCAGAGGTTAAACTCCTGTTCACAATATTTAAAATAAAAGTGGCCAAGTCGGAGAACCAGGCTTCAGTCCTGCCACCAGATCAGAGAGCAAAGAAAAAGAAATGGGCTCAAAGTGATCCATTGAACACTGAGGAGAGTCACATCCAGGAGAGGCAACCAGCGAGGGTGAGATCAAGGCTCTGATGGTGGTGATCTTAGAAACAAAAAAGCCTAAGAAACCTAGAGCAAAGATCATCCGAAACATCGGAAAGAGAAGGCTCAGAGAAAAAAAATTAATTTAACACAGAAAATAATACTCGATTACCAAAAGAATACTGATAATGTCAGAAAAATATTTATTTTTAAATAAACCTGATTATTATCTATACACCTGCAAATCTGGTTTAAAGGCTGGTTACTTTCGCATCTTTTCTCCAACCTTAAGATGGATTGTAACACATGATAGCATGAATCTGCAGTCTCAAGGTCTGCAGCTGTATGGTACAGTGGAATTCACACGGCTGGGGGCGGGGTTTCAATTAATCCAAGCATCTTATTTCTGGGTGGAGGGGATGGCTCAGTGGTGCCAACGGTAATATTTTATCATACCGGTATATTGTGCCTAGAAATGCCTACACTCTGGAAAGTGTAAAAAAGCATGATACAGATCCTTTAATGGTTAACATTTTCTGTGCATCACATCTGCTCCCATAGTAACAGACCCCCTTCTCTGGTGGGGTCAGCAGCAATCTATTTAGCCAGCTGAAACATTTAATTTGTTTATATTTTAGTTGTAATGTTTATTTTCTGCTAAATATTTATATCTCTAAAAGTTCTTTGAATTTAGTCGTTCCTAAACAGCATTTTAGTTGAAACTCTGCTCACAAATGGACTCACACTGGCTAAATAAACGAATAAATTTAAAAAAAAAACACAGTCATTATATTGTAAACGGTATACCAATAAATTGCTGTAAACATAGTACTGGCAAGTGTAGCTAGAAAAGAAGAAAAAGGGTTATAAACTACCGCTACTGGGAGGCGAACCTGCACAAAACTGCATGTCAATCTGACTCCACAACCACTTCACCACTACATTTAATACAAAACTAGTGGCGTTACATGTAATTGTGCCATCCAGTGCGTCTTTGTAGATGGGATGTATGGTTTTTCCGCCGGTGTCTCAGTAGAAGTCATTTCAGAAATAATTTGTCAGAAAATGCACAGAATATACAGATTTGAGAACCAAGACCAGACCCGCTTCGGAGGAGAGGATCAAATTGAAGCTGAGATGGGAGGAAGATGTGTGAATGAGGCCAAAAATGGCTTTGGCGTGTTTCTTATGAGGAAATGACAATATAACATGTTAAAAAGTTCCAAAAGTTAGATTTTTAATTATATGGAACCTTTACAAAAACTGTTCAATTAACTTCTCAACTCTGTCCTCAATCTTGCATTTTTTAGCTATAACACCCTCTTTGGTTCCAGAATGCTATCAAGTCTGACAACTGGAAGGAATTGGACTGACTCTGATGGAATAGGCAGGGCTGACTCT